AGGAGAAGCGGGAGTCATCCCTCCTGCCTCCTCCTCCTCTTCCTTCTCCTCTTCCTCTCTTCTCTTCGTTTTCCTTCTCCACTACCTCTTCCACCACCTCCTCCTCCCCCTCCTCCTCCTCCCCCTCCTCCTCCTCCTCCTCCTCCTCCTCCTTCTCCTCCTCCTCCACATCCTCCTCCTTCTTCTCCTCCTCCTCCTCCTCCTCTTCCTCGTCCTCGTCCTCCTCCTCCTTCCTCCTCTGGGCTCCTCCTCCTCCTCCTCCTCTCCCCCGCGTTCGCGATGGCCCCCGCTGCCCCCCGCGGATGCCGTCCTCGGCCGCAGGTACAGCCTTGCGCTGGCGGTGCCCGAGGCGCAGGAGCAGCGGCGCGGCCGCACGGCTTCCGAGGGGAGAGAGAGAGAGAGAGAGAGAAAGAGAGAGAGAGAGAGAGAGAGAAAGAGAGAGAGAGAGAGAGAGAGAGAAAAGAGAGAGAGAGAGAAAGACAGGTAGACAGAGAGAGAGAGAGAGAGAAAAAGAGAGAGAGAAAGAAATGAGCTGAGATCCTTGCCCCCAGCAGTTTCGGGGAACCCGCTGGGCACGCCCTCGCTCCCGCTTCGCCCCGCCCCGCCGGTGCAGCCGCCCAGCGCACTGTAGGACCTAAGCGAAAGCGGCTGGCTTGTGGGCGGCGACCGTCCTGTGCCTGAGCCCCCTTTCCAGACCCCTGCGCGTCGCGAAAACATTGCGACGGAAGGTTTTCTGGTAGTGTGCGGCCTGTCGGGGCCCTGAACTGGCCCCCGGGCTGTCAAACAACGACTCGGGAAGAGAAGCCACTTCCGGGGAGGGGGTCCTTGCCTTTGGGGGTCCACGTTGGGAAAACAAACCATCACGTCGGGGGTCAGGGTCCTCCTCCCCCTCCTCCTCCTCCTCCTCCTCCTCCTCCTCCTCCTCCTCCTCCTCGTCTTCCCATATTCCTGCGAACTCGTTCCCTCTTCGTCTTCCTCCGTCCTCCCTATCTCCTGTACGTCGCTCCCTTTTTCCTCGTTTCTTCCTTCGTTCTCCCTTCTCCTCTTGCCCTCCACAGCCATTTTGGCTCAAGCGGTTCTGGCCCAGGGGTTCCCCCTGAGCTTGGTGTCGCCTATTCTTCAGATCGGCTGGGCGACATCGCGCCAACTTTTGGCACACAACGCAGCAGTACGGCCGCGACATTGGTGAGTCTCCTAGGATAATGGTGACTGCGCTTGGCAGGGACGCTGGCAATCAGAGTTGGTTCAGCTGGTTCTGTGTGCATAGTCGAACGGGACAACCGTCGGAGGCTCAACGGAAGCTCTTTTTACTCTTTCAAGAGGTTGGATCAGCCCAGCGCCAACTCGGGCCAGAAGAAGGCTGTGAAGTCTGACAACGACTCACCTTGGGCTAAACGTGTTGAGTTAGGAAATGCTCAGGCCACCAACCTCAGGCTCGAGAAGTACGCAGCTCAAGTTTGCTGCCGCCACTCGACCACGATATGAAGGTGGCGGCCAAGCCTGGAGAACACAGGAATGAAACAGGATCGGAATATGATGAGGGTCGCACTCGTGCTGCAATCAACGAGTTCGACAAACAACGTGGCATGGTGAGCAAGGCAACTGGCGAAGCTTGCAAGGTGTTGTTCAAGGCGTTGTCGAGTGAGCGCGCCAAGCGGCAGTGTAGGATTAACCGCCACGCGCCCGCCACTGCCAGACTGTTTGCAATCGCCCGCCAAATCGACGCTGTTCAGACGCAAACATGAAAACATGATCCGTTCGCGGAGGAGCACATGCACGTCAAGCTTGCCAAGGTGGAGGATAACATCAAGGAGAAGGAGGTTAAGTTGGTGGAGCTGCGCGCCCAGTATTTCGAGCTGGGGAAGCAGGCCATTCTCCTTCCTCGTAAGCCTGATGGCGGTGGTGCTTCGACGACTGCAGCAATCGGACAGGATGCGGCGAAGCATGGGGATGTTCTGCGGCAGCTTCGGGCAGGTGGGCCGTGCATGGCCATGGCTGAAGGCGTCGCCCAGGCGCAGCCAAGTATCTTCCATACTGCGCAGGCGCATGTGTTTGGGGCCAGTCGAACTAACGCTGCGACGGGGCAAGTTTCTGAGCCCTTACCGCAGCCTCAACAGGTTCACCCCCACTTCACGAAGCTGGAGACCATGCCGGGTGCTCGATGGCTGATGCAGACCTGTGTAGGCTCAAAACCATGCTGCTGGCGGCAGGGGTGGGTTGCGACATGGGGACCTGTCCGGAGATTTACGATGCTACCAGCAAGCCCATCAAGCACAGAGGCTGCACTAGGTACAACAACTCCCAGGCCTACGAAGGGCCGAACCTTCAGCTGTACGTCGTTGGTGTTTGCGATTGTGCCCGCACGGTATCAGTTTGCTGTCCGTACGGCCGGTGTCAATGCGGATGTTGCGATGTGAGATGGTGCATGTGTCACGTGTGTATATGCGCCACTCGCTGCCGTTTGACTTCTAGGGTGCCTGTTTGCCATTGTGCTAAAACGCATCATAATCACACTGGTAGCGGAGCTGCCACACGATCCCCGTATCGTACCACTGCGCGCACGTCTCATCAGAGAGTATCGCGCTACCTCTCTTTCCTTTCCGTACTGGCAGGTTCCCTCGCTAGGGAACTCTGCGTTGCACCATGGCACTTTCTTCTCTTCGCTATCGGTAAAGCGCCAACGCGCTGACGCGGTCTGAGACGAAGAGTGGCTCTTACATATACGACGGAACGTTGCACAATTTCCATGAATGGGAATTCCGCACAGAGGTGCGCATGAGTGCCGCCTTGGCCTCAGTGGATCATGAGACGGGTGTACCACAGCAACACGTGATCACCGCAACTGTCAACAAGGTTGCAGAAGGCCTCATAGCTGACGCATTCGATAATGCCATGGATATCGGTAAGGACGTGCTTCTGACTCCGAATGGGATCGATCAGATGGTGCTTGCGATTCGCACTTCATTCTTCCCCATAGAGGCGCAGGAAGCGAAGATCCTGTTCCAGGTGGGCCACAGACCATATGGACCACTGTCTCGGCAGAACGGTGAGTCGAAGGTCTCGTACATCTCCCGAAGGAAGCGCTGGTGGATACTTGTCTCCAGGTTAGATCCCAAGGTCTTGATGAGTGACCATGTGCTTGGCTCCCTCTTTTTGGGCCATGCAGGCCTCTCGCCTTCGGGGAATCTGATGGTGTTGACATCCACTTGGGATGTTACAACCTTTGGCAACATCAAGGACGTCTTGATCCTCCAGCACGGTCGCAAACACATCCGCCACATGGGAAAGGGTGAGTCCAGTAAAGGACCCAACTCTTCGACGTGGACGCAGCCCAGACCCAGCTACCATAACAGGACAAGGGTAAGGGCAGGGTGCGCTCCTCTAGGCCGCAGCGCGCCTTCTACACAGTTGATGACGGATGGTGCGAGCACGAGGGGCACTACCCTGAGGGGCTGAGCCCCTGCGGGTACTGCGCGCCCAGCCATGCGCCAGAGCGCGGCTGGGGCGACGCGGCCTGGGGCGATCGCGCCGACGAGCGCGCCCGTGGCGACGAGGAATCGCATGCTCGCTGGGCCCCCCGCCCAGGAAAGCAGCGAGCTCGACGTCGAGGCGCTCGACGAGATGGCCGAGGCCGGGCGCGCGGAGGAAGGGGCCCCCGATGCGATCCAAGATGGCCCGGTCGCCGACCTCGGCGCCGAGGGAAGCAGCAGGGGCAATGGACAGACCGGAGGCAAGTGCCCCCACTGCGCGCCCTGGCCGCCCAAGGGGGGCGGCAAGGGAGGACCTCCCCTGGAAGATCGCAAGAGGTGGCCCCAGGAGATCAAGAAACGCTCGAGGAGCAAGACCTGCGACGAAACAGGCCGCCCGCCCGTGGGCCCTGAGTGCGCGGGCAAGCCAGGACGGCAATGAACGCGCGCACCGGGGGCGCCAGCGAACGCCAGGTCCAGTTGCGCGAGGGCGACGACGAACGTGAGTTCGCGTCCGTCAGTTCCGCTGCCGCATCGCCACCGATCCCTCATCGTGTCATTGGGGGCAAGGAGGAATCGATGAGGATGGGTTCTGGCGTTTCTCGTTTCTGTTGTTCTTTCTGTTCTCGCGTCGCGCGTCGCAGTGCACGCGCGCGTGAGGGGGGGGATTGCGACGGACAGCGCGGCCTGCAGAACAATCGCGTTGAGAGTCATGTCTGCGTTAATTGTCTGGGAATGATCGACGCCACTTTGGTTCGGGGGGCCCCGGAGCATCGGGGGAGGAGTCTTCAGACCTCTGCAGAGGCTGATGGGGGGTACTCTTGGGTGCATGGCTGTTCGCTCGACCGAATCCTATTCGATGGCCAGTGTTCCTGATGAGGAGTTTGAGGAGGGGGTATCCGTTGGGATCCCATCTCTGTTCCTGGCCATGGTATTGTGTCTTCTTCGGGTCAGCGCAACGGGTTCAGTTGTGGTCGCGTTCTTAGAGATACTCCAGATCGCGTGGATTGGAGCCGCAGGGTAAAGACGCCAAGAGAGGATCTGGTTCGGTTTTTAGGATGGGCCGATAGCAACGTTACTCGGAAGGAAGACGGACAGTTTGTGAATGTTCCTGGGTAAACTTTAAGTGGCAAAGTTGTGCCTTCCTCGAGTTCTTCTCCTGGCCTGCCCGGGAATCCTCGTCCGCGCCTCGAGGTTGCATTAATCTCTCGGGGGTCGGTTCTACTGCTCGTTTCATTGCGCGCGTCTGTGCAGATTGTGGGCACGAGACCAAGATGGAGAGGTGCGTGGCGCGTCGCTCTCCGGGCGAGTGCCCGTGCGATCTCGTGGGCGCCGGGGGCGGCGCTCCGGATGTTGTTATGGCGCGTTGTTGTCGTTGCCTGACATATATCGATGAGCAGCCCAGGGAACTCGCGGAATACGAGAAAGCAACAGCTAAGAAAGTTGAACGCTCCAGCAACATCCAATCAGATCGCTGCTTGGCTGTTGCTGGAGCGTTGGGCTGGGCTGCTCGCTTTGAGGTCGCAGTGCCACTTTCCCTCGCCTTGCTTGATTTTCTTTTTGGCCGCGCGGGAAGGCCCCGAGTTCGGCTCGATCTTTAATGCCACCATGAATTCCTTGAAGGACAACGCCTCGTTCGTCTGGGGGGGTCGGTCATGGGGGGCTGCAGAGGGCTTGGTTCTTCGCCCCCAGTTCATCGAACATGTCTCGTGGAAGGCTGCGATGGGCTTGCCATCAGCGCCCTGGCTTTTTCTTCGGAGAATCGGGCGGGGAATGCGCTCTGCCGCTGGCCTCGTCTGCGGCCGAGGCAATACTTTCGACGTGCTGAAGATCCCTTGCGAGACTCCAGGAGCTGACCAAGCAGTGCATCTCAATTTTTCGCGGGGCGAGGATACTGGGGCATCGTCAGGACATGCGCGCGGGTTGCGAGGTCGCGCGGATGAGGCTTGTGAGAAGGCGTCTTGGAGAAACGGCGCATATCGCACGCCCTTGTCTTGATGGGCGCTTGCTTGGGCCATGGTCTGGGTCGGTCTGGTCAAGGGCCAAGTTGTGCGAGGCAGGTCGCCTGATTCTGCCCGCGCGTGCATGGCGCTGGGCCGGCTAGGCCGCCGCCGGGCACGCGTTCCCTGAATCCCAGGGAGAGCTGTAGCGAAGCGCGGGTGACGATGACTTGTGCCGGGGCTACTGCCTGGGCCGCGTATGGCGATGTCCCCCGGCCCTCCTTGTCCATCGCGCGCCGAGGAACCTACCTCGCGATCGTTTGGGGGGCTGGGGCTCGGAGAAGAAGTCCCGTGCATGCGTGGTGTGCGCGGGTGGTTCTGGAATGGGCCCATCGCGGCCAGAATTGAGGCTTTGCGGGCGGTTGGCGGTGCAGCTCGGAGATGGCGGGGCGCCAGTGCGAGCTGCGTGCGGGCTCCTTTTATCGGGCCCCATCCAGGCGGTTGGGAGGGCGGAGATAATGGCCTTTCCTGGATGCGTGCACTTTGCTCCCCGAACTCGAGCCCAGCCCAGGCTGCTACTTGATCTGCGTGAGCCGATATCTGGCGGGCGATAGTTCGCGCGCAGAGAGACGGACGTCCTGCCGCTTAGTGGCGCCCAGCGCACGTCGAGATATAACAATGTTTGTTCCGCTTGCTTCTCGGATCCCGTGGGAGGTCATGCGGGGAAATATGTGGCCGATTCGTTGACCAGAGCTGATGCTGAAGTACGCTCGTTCGCTAACGCCCTTTTGACATCGTGCAACTCGAGACTGCAGGGCGCCGGGATGCAGGATTAGTTCTTTCCATATGCGGCCGCGTGTCTTATCTCCAGGGGTGCGGAGTCTGGGGGGTTGTACCGATTCCAGATGCCAGTGAGTGAGCCCGCCTTCATACCATGGGTAGGTATATGCCCTCGCGCGATTATCGTTCGAATCCCAAGGGCTTGCCATTTCAAGCGTTGCTTGGCCATTCCTCGGCCCCCACCCGGTCCCAGTGAAAAAGATGTCTGGTTTTGCCAGCCATGCTGTAGCACAGAAAAAATGTGCAGCAGGCTCCGCTGCATAGGAACGGGGCTGTTCATGGAGGTTGTGGTGGTGGGTGGTGCTGGTGGTGGTTAGGGTCGTGATGGTGGTGTTGAGGTGGTTTGTGGTGGTGGTGGTGGCGGTGGTTGGTTGTGGTGGTGGTGGTGGCGGTGGTTGTTGTTGTGGTGGTTTGGTGGTTTGTTGTGGTTTTGGTGGTTGTGGTGGTTGGTGGTGGTGGTGGTTGTGGTGGTGGTTGTAGTGGTGGTTGTGGTGCTGGTTTGGTGGTGGCGGTTTGGTGGTGGTGTGGTGGTGGATTGTGGTGGTGGTGGTGGTGGTGGTGGTGGTGGTGGTGGTGGTGGTGGTGGTGGTTTGTGAGGTGGTGCTGGTGGTGGTGGTGGTGGCGGTGGTGGTGGTGGTGTGGTGGTCTTGGTGGTGGTGGTGTGGTGGCCTTGGTGTTGGTGGTGGGGGTGGCGGCGGCGGTGGTGGTGGTGTGGTAGATTGTGGTGGTGAGGGTGGTGGTACAGGTGGTGGGTTGTTGTGGTGTTGGTGGTGGCGGTGAGTTGTGGTGGTGTTGGTGGTGGTGGGTTGGTGGTGGGTTGTGGTGGGTTGTGGTGGTGGCGGTGGTGGGTTGAGGTGGGTGTGGTGGTGGTGGTCTTGGTGATGGTGGTGGTGGCGTGGTTGTTTGTGGTGGTGATGGTGGTGGTGGTTGGCTGTGGTGTTGGCGGTGGTGGTGGTGGTGCTGCTGGTAGCGGTGGTGGTGGTAGTGGTGGGTGGTGGGTGGTGGTTGTGGTGGTGGTGGTGGTTGTGGTGGTTGTGGTGGTGGTGTCGTGGTTTGTGGTGGTTGTGGTGGGTTGTGGTGTTGGTTGTGGTGGTGGCGGTGGTGGTGATGGTGCTGGTAATGGTGTGGTTGTTCGTGGTGGTGGTGGTGGTTGTGGTTGTGGTGGGTTGTGGTGGGTTGTGGTGGTGCTGGTGGTGGTAGCGTTTTTGGTGGTGGTGGTGGTGGTGGTGGTGGTGGTGTAGTGGTTTGTGGTG